TTTAGAAAATTAGTTATAATTTTGTAAAGAAGAGCTTTAAAAGTTTAGAACAGGGCCACCTATAAGTAAAATTTACTATAGAACAGTTTTACTTAGGCAGCCAAAGTAGGTTTACTTAGTAGAATTTAGAGAATAGAGTGATTATTTTTAGAGAAAATTTGGTACAGTGATCATCAGGAAGAGTTAGTGACTTGCGTCGCTTTGATTTTTGGTTGTGTGATAATATATGTTTTATTTAACTTTTTTCTTTTTCTTATTTAAAATATATTTTGACTATATAAATTCAAAAAAAAGTAATTATTCTTGCTGTTAACCTTATTAGAAAAGCTGTTTTGATATATATTTACAACTACTAGTCCAATTAAGATAAAATTATTACTATTTAAATTAGCTCATCAAGATAAATCTAAAGATAATAAGATCATCCAAATCTAATAACAGGAAGCTAAGATAAGTTTAAAAATATAATTTAATCAAATGATCTAAATGTAAATCACATGTGTCACAACCTGATTGGCTGATGATCTACTATGCAAAATATTTTACATGTAGTATATCTATTATTTGTCATATTTATAGTATTTGTATTATTTATTTTATATATCATATATATTATTTGTATTATATATAGTATCTGTATTATATATATTATATATCTTATTAGTACTATTTGTAATATTTATAGTATAGATACTAGATATAGACCATTATATTTCTAAAAAATTGTAAAGTATAAAAGCATGTGATGTAGATTTTGTATTTAATATTATGTCTTCATACACTTTAATAATAAAATACCTTTTGAATACAAAATTATAAATAGTTATTAGTATCTTTATATACTTTAATTATTGTCTCTTTTATAATTACAAATTATCTTTAATCTTCTTTGTTAAGTTTTGTAAAAATGCTATATTAACTTAGTTAAAATACAGTAACTTGTTGGGTTATACAAAGTATTTGTTATCTACTATCTTTAAAGAAGTAGATATAGAATAACACTACTATAATTTATATTAAGTATTATTTAGAAGTTATACTAGTTAAAAATACAAGAATCTTAAATTTTAACTAAATATCTTATATTAATAATGTAAGCATCTCAATTATTATCACAGATCATAATAAAATTAGATTAAAATAAAATAAAAAATTTTATTTTATCATCTAAAACTTACTTATACTTGTTTATTATAAAACCTGCTTCTAAACCCTAATTCTAAACCTAAAAAAATACTAAAAAAATATACTCCAAAAATTTGCATTTTTTGGTAGCTTGTCTATTTTATACTATACCTTATTTTATTTTAATCTGCCATAATTATTGATTGTGTAATAATATATTTTAGTCAACTTTTTTTTGTTTAAATCTTATTTTAACTATATAAATTTGAGAAGGTAAGCATTCTCATTAAGATTCATATTAAGCAATATACAGAAAAAATTATGCTAATTAAAACACAAAAATCTTAAGTTTAACTAAATATCCTATATTAATAATGTGAGTATCTTAATTTTTGGTTGTTTGTAATATATGTTTTATTCAACTTTTTTCTTTTTTTTGTTTAACTGAATATTCTATATTATTAATATAAAGGTTTATTTTTTGATTATATGATGATTAGTAATATAAACTTAATTAAAATTATTTGATATTATAAAGCTAAAACTATATATTATTATTATTTAATATATTAATTATCAGATTTATTGAAAAAACAGTAAAATAATTTTGTATTATTTATACTAAATTATTTAAAATATGATATAATTTTATTATTAGTATTTTATTGAGATAAAAATTCTTTATATATTAAAAGTTTTACTACTCTAATTACAACTTAACTTTATTATTTGATTTAACTATTCTATTTATTAAGTCATCTGTACTATAGTATAAATCAATATCTAAATTTTGAATATACAAATCTAATTAAACTATTTGATTTCAAAAATTAGACAATTAGATTAGATCTGCATATTTAAATTTAAGGATAGAGTGTACAAATTTCTAATTTCATATAAAATAGATTGTAGATTAACTTTGTATATATAATATTATATGATTTATATATAAACATCATATGATTTGACCAATCAGAATTAGCAATTTATATATAACCCAGAAAAACATATAATGACTCCAGAAACTTTGATTATATATAAAGTTTATTTTTTTAAAATAATGTATATTCTGCAACTTCACTATTATAAACAAACTAGTTTAAACTACATATAATAAAAATTTGATAAAAATTAAATGAGATGTTAAAAAGTTTAATCAGAAGTATTTTTTTATTTATAATGTAAAATTTAATATACTATGCAGATCATATGAAAAATGATTTATATACACCCTACCCTTAAACACTAGTAAAAATTCTTAAATATTTAAGAGTAAAAGTTTATAAATATTTAGTAGTAAAAGTTTCTAAGCATTTAATTTTGATTTGAACTGATTGAAACTTTGTTAATATTTACATAATAATTTCAAAAATTTTTTTGGCCAATCAGAACTTTTATTGTTTCAATATTTATTTTGATCCTCTAAATATGTATTGGTTTGAAATAACTATTCGATATATTTAAGGATAAATTTGTAAAAGTCAATTTATCAATTATAAATCAAAGAGATTTATTATAATATAATAAATTTATATAATTAGTCACTATCATTATCATTGTTGTTACAAATAGTTAAATTTATTTTATATGATCTTCTCTTTAATCACTATATAATTTGCAATCTTTATAATTATCAAAACTATAATTAACCCTCTAACCAAGCTCTTTCATATTTGTGCTAGATTTCTTTGGTTAGAATAGCTAACATTTTTAACGAAAAAATATGTTTAAAAGAAAACAAATTGTATCATAAAATTTAAGCCATTTTATAGTAAGTTCTATTGTTCATTATCTTGATTTTGATCTTCCTAAATCTTGAACCGTAGGCTACTGTGTAACGTGACTATCAAAACAATTTTTTTTATAAAATCAAAACCCCAAGATTAAGGTTAGGGTTAAGGTTAGTGTTGGGGCAAGGCATAGCTTATACCAAAATTGAGTAAGGAATTTTTTTTGTTGGAACGTTTCATAATCAAAATTTTGTGTTATTCGAAAAAATCAGTTTCGTTTTTGATTACACCTGATCTTGAAATTTGATTGGCATTATAGAATGTAGCATGGCTACAAATATATTGTTTCTTATTTTTATAATAAATTCTATTCAGATTGTTTAATTTTAGCAATCTGATAACCTCACAGTATTTTAACTATAACAAATTTGTCAATTCATATTACAATTTTCCAAAATTTTCTAGTTATACAAAAATTTATTAAATTCTTTTTGAAGAAATTTTTCTTAAAACTTCTAGTGAAAATTTCTCAATAACTACATAATCAAATTTGGAAAGATTTTTTTTATTATAATTTTCAATATACACAATATATATTTATACCTATATGGATTGGAAGCTTTCAATAATTTTTATTAGAATGTGATGTTTCTACAATCGTCCAATCTTATAATTATTAACATCGATTGTTAGTCACGGTTTTTGAAACAAGTCATTCAAGATTTCAACACGCCACTATTAATATCGAAGAATTTTAAAATTAGCAAAAAAGCTATTAGAAATTTACACAAGTATCTAAATATATATGCATACTTTCGAAGTATTGGCTTTATCACCAAAACATGTAACCTCTTGATAATCATTATTCAACATATAAGGATGACTATTTAATCCCAAATTAGATTTAACATGCATAAGAACGATATTATGGCATTCATTCCAGGGCTCTTGGTCTTCAGAAGTTATATTATGAATATCATGCTGGACAACCCAATTATCATCCGAATTGTTCCAGGTTTGGCATGTAACTAATGTGGAGAGATAAGTTATGAATTATGTCATTAATTATTCAAAATCATAATTCAAATTCATAAAAAATAATAATAAAAATCAATTTTTACCTTCCTGTTGAGAAGTTACTGGGGATTTGCGAACTTTGAACTCTTCAGTAAGTTTATGTGAATGTAATTTTTGTCCAGTACCATTATTTAGGAGTGTTATTTTGTCCCCATTACACACAACTGAACCTTTCATTTTGTTGCCATTATTTACTGGATTATATGTTGGAGAAATTCCATCTTTAATAACTTCTGGCATTATTGTCCATAATTCATGATCAGTTGGACCAGTTGCACGATAATCTACTGCATATGCCTAAAGTAAGATGAAAATTAATATATTTACTGTAAAGAATTAAAGTAATACTGTCAGATTCATTAAGTGCACCCTCTCTGAAACCATAGTAAGAAAAAAAAAGAGCAAACGTATACTAAGAAAGGGTGTCATTCGTAGAGAAACAAAAACACAGAGCTCTTATAAACCGGGAAAAGCTATATCGTGCAATTAGAGAGAATTTTTATAGCGTGTGCGCTTAGATAGTCCTGACAACATTTGAGATTTAATACGAACCCAATACTGCTTTGTTCCACCGGTATATCTATGCAGCGAACTTGATAATAGTTTTTCAGTACCGAAATGACGTAAAGTGATTACTGATCCATACTTAACTACTCGTTTATAATTAGATAAAAAATTTTGAAGATTTATAAAAACATCCTCAATATTGTGAGAATCGACAATTTTTAATCTATATGTATCTAAAAATTTAGTAGGTAAAATTTTTAGTATAGACTGTTTTTGTAATTTAAAATCACAAATTTCAGCGTCTGCTAGCAATTGCCGTAGTTCAATGATAAAATGTGTTACATCAGTTGAATATGTGAAGTGTAAAGCCATAATCTTTCTTTCTGATTCCATTTTAAAAATACTAAACGAAGGATCAGCTTTAAGAAACTTGAGAAGTTGCGAAATATTTTTAATGGAATTATTATTTCTATAAATTGAGCGACTAATTTTTAAGAGTGCAAGGCTAATTATCTCAGACTCCGATAATTTATTTTCCTGAACGGTTGCAACGAATAGAAATTCACGAAGCCAATCTTCCGGGTGGCAAGATCCATTGTATTCTGGAAAAGATGATAAATCTATCATTTTGACATAACCTGCTAGTATTATAATATCTAACAACTAGGAATGTTAGCGTTGAGGTTTCCGGTGTAACCGTTGAATGGAGAGCAGGATAAACTGGTATAGACAATAGGCCAATTTGGCTCCAACGGTATACGATAAAAAGAATGATTTTAGATAGGTAATTGGGGAAGGATTTAAATAACTTTCAAGAACGGGTCAGGCGAGAAAGTTAAGACACGAATTATTTGATTAGCTGCCTGATACGAAAGTATAATTTTGTCTCGAATCGAATTATCGTGATTTATTGTGAGATTGGTATGACGTCGTATTTTATAAGGGTTGCACAAGGACTAAGCATCCTTAAATTTGAATGTGCGACCGTTTTGTCAAAAATTTCTTCTCGAAATTCTACATAATAAACAACTTTTGGTGATCTAATAAGAAGTTTTCGTTGGGCAATTTTACAATACAACTATCCTCCTATAGCCAATGATCCTAACCCTAACTCCAACGTGAATGAAATTTAAAAAATTTGTGCTGCACCACAAGTCTTCTGCACATTCAAAGTAATGCGTAAAGGGTAGATAATTACGTAA